CCCACATGGCCACAAAAGCCAGAGCTGCACTGATCTGAAGCCCGGAGCCTGGAGCCTTTTCCATGTCTCCCATGCGGCTGCAGGGTCCCAAGGCTTTGTGCCATCCTCAACTGCTTTCTTAGGCCACAAGCAGGGAGCTAGATGAGAAGCGGGGCTGCCAGGATTAGAACCAGCGCCCGTATGGGATCCCGGCTTGTGCAAGGCAAGGACTTAAGCGATTAGGCTCCGTGCTGGGCCCATACCCTTTTTTTTTTTTTAAAGATTTATTCATTCATTAATTAATTTATATGTTTTTGGAAAGGCAGATTTACATAGAGAAGGAGAGACAGAAAGATCTTCTATCCACTGGTCTATACCCCAAGTTGTTGCAAAGGCCAGAGCTGAGTTGATCCAAGGCCAGGAGCCAGGATCTTCTTCCAGGTCTCTCACATGGATACAGGGTCCCAAAGCCTTGGGCCATCCGCAACTGTTTTCCCAGGCCAGAAGCAGGTAGCTGGATGGGAAATTGGGCAGTCAGGACATGAACTGGTGCCCATATGGCCGGCTGGTACACAAACCGGTGCCCATATGGAATTCTGGTGTATACAGGGCAAGGATTTAGCCACTGAGATAAAACACCAAGCCTTGTGCTTGTTAATGTTTTCAGAAACTACCTAATTAGTTTTCAAAGAGTCATAGTTCTCAGTCTTACACTTAGATCCATTAGAGTCTTTCTGTAGCTTGTGTAATACAAGGGTCAATGTTCTTTTTAGCATCCTGTGTTGAAGCAAATATCCTTTCCCTATTGAAATGCCTTGATATCATTGTTGAAAACCAATTTGCTATATACATGTAGTTCCTTTTCTCGACTGTATTCCATCAGTTATATGTCTGAACATATCAACATTTACATCCATCGGAATTGGCCTCTTTAGGAGAGTTCTCCCTGGAAAATGAATCGAATCTTCCAGATTCTTTGTGATTTTTGTATAATTTTGGATTGTATCCTAGACACTGTAATTGTCACATAGTGTAGACTCTGGGTTGTATAATCTTCATCTGAGGAGGGTGTTTTGGTCGTACGTGACAGCCAGCTGTAAGCTGTGTCACCTTCAAACCCCAGTTTTTGCTATGTTCCTATGAGTCTCTGTGCTTTTCAAGGAGGGATTGGCATGAGGTACATGTGGTGTTGGATTTAGGGATCCCTTTCTCTGGCTCTCCCTTTTAAGGGATTCATCATTTACTCTGGTGACATGACTTCAATTTCCTAGGATTCTTTGCCTTTTTTTTTAAGGGTTTCTGTTAGCTTTAGTGGCCCTAGTTGTGCTCCTTTGTGACAGAGTATCCGTGTCAGGGAAGAGCCTTCTGTAAGGTTAGGAACCCCCCCAGCCACTTGGTGCAGGCTGTCACTCAATGTTTTAAACCTCCGTTCCCAGTCTGCCTGCTTTTAGTATGCTAGTCAGAATTTTAAATGATTGATTTTTATATCTTTTTCAGAGTTTGTAGATAGTTATTGTCAGTGACGTTATTGGTTCACAGGGAGTTTATGCAATACCTATTTTTATTGGAAAGGCAGATTTACAGAAAGAAGGAGAGACAGAACAATCTTCTGTCTGCTGGTTCACTCCTCAAATAGCTGCAATGGCTAGAGTTGAGCTGATCCAAAGCCAAGAGCCTCCTCCGGATCTCCCATGCAGGTGCAGGGTCCCAAGGCTTTGGGTCGTCCTCCACTGCTTCCCAGGCCACAAACAGGAAGCTGGATGGGAAGCAGGGCCACAGGGACCAGAACTGATACCCATATGGGATCCAGGCCCCTTCAAGGCAAGGACTTTACCCACTAGGCTGCTGTGCCAGCAGGCCCAATCACAGTTATTCTAAAGTTCCTGCCTGCTAGTTTCAACATCAGGGACATCTCTAAGATTGCTTTATCTCTTGCCCTAGTGTTGGGTCTTTTTCTTGTGCTTTTTTTTTTCCCCTTGCCTCTTACTTTTTAATTGAATGCCAATTATCATGTATAGAACAACACAGATGCATGTAAATAGTATTTGAGCCTGGAGATGAAGAAACCTCTTCTGTTGGAGAGTTGAATCAATTAAGCTAGGTTTGGGTTTTATTGACGCTATCAGTAACTTTATTGTGCCACAGCCTTCAAGTTCCTGTAGCAGTAGGCTGCTGTTATGTTATATTTAGAATGTTCTGGAGAATTTTTCCCAGTGTCCATTCTCCCTCTTCCTCAAGCACTCAGCTACTCCTACATACCTATCCCCCAGGCTCCCCAGAGAAGTTCTTTCCATGTTTTTAAACCTCTGCCCCTGGTTGACTGTTCTTGCCTTTTACTTGACTTAGACTCTTGGTCTGAAGGTAGATGTTATCTGGTCCGGCCTTAATCTTAGGCGAAGTTGTGTCCCTGTGCCTTGGTTCTTTTACCCTCTCCTTAGTGCAGTCAGTCTCTCTGCTTTATGTCTGTGTTGAGTCCTGAGAAGGAGTTCCTTCCCTCTGTGCCATCTCACCCCATTCCCCTATGGTAGATGGCCTTGCTAAGTATCAGTTTGAGAACCTGATCCTAATATGGTTTATTACCTTTCTTCAAAAGTACTGAGTATTTTGCTTTTATTTCTTTCCTGGAAGCAGTGAGATCTTTGCCAGTGCCCTCCATATAAGAGGTGGAAGAAGTAGTAGAAGAGAATGGTCTGGAGGAGTGAGCTGGTATTGTGTCAATGCCCTGTATTCCTGGACCAACAGGGGAGACACGGTGGAAGCTCATGGAAAAGACATGCAAATGAGCAAGAAGTTTCCTTATGTCTGGAGTGGAAGTATTCATGCAGTTTCTCAAATCTTTAATAGAAACAGAAGCAGGTTATGATAGCTGCTTAATGTCCTTGTCTTTTAACTTTTGTCTGTCGTTTCTGACTGTTTCTATGGACTTTTCTGACTCCTGGTCATGAGTACCATGCGCTAACTGATTGAGCCACATGTATCAGATTTTCATGGTTCTTTATATGTATGGCAATTTTTGATTAGATGTTGTTCATTGTGGATTTAATGTTATTGAGTGCTGAATTTTTTTAGATTCCTTTTAACAGTGTTGGGGAGTTGGCAGTTGAGTGGTTTATAAATTATTTTCATCCTTTGAGACCAAAAATAATTTTTAAGCTAGTTTAGGGTAATGTTAATTATGTTTTAATTTATTTGAGAGGCAGTGGGAAAGAAACAGAACTCCCATCCAGTGGATCACCTCAAATGCCCACAGTGGCGGGGGCCAAAGTCTGAAGCTGGGAGTTATGTCTTCCATGTGAAACACGGGACCCAAGTACTTGAGTTGCCACCTGACACCTCCCAGGGTGCACTTTAGCAGGAACCCGGAGTCGGGAGTAGGGCCAGAACCTAAACTCAGGCACTCCAGTGGGATGTGGGCATTCCAGCCTGGATCTTAATCACTACCCAAACACTCACCTTTTCAGGTTGGTTTAGAGCAGTTTTAATGGTAGCATTAATGTAACCCCATTCCTAAAGCATGGCCTTAGTTAAATCCACTTCTTAATTCCCTGTAGATGCATGGAGGTGTTTTTATCTTGGTTAGAGGGAAGTTGAATAATTCTATGTCTTGTGCACTCTGGGAAACATTCATTTACATCTCTTGACATCCCCCACCCCCTACCCTGCCGTGATATCTTTTTTCTTTGGACTGTTACTCAGCCAGAATTTGAGAGGACCCAATGCGGATTTCTGGAGTTGTGTCTCTGTAGCTCCCTCTTTTGTGCTCAGCCCTGCAATTCTAGCTGTTTTGATCTCTGAACTATAGTCTGTTTATTCAACTAGGTGAAGTTGCCACACTCTGGGCAGTCTTCCCTGAGCTTTCTGTAGGCTTTCTGCAGGTGGGAAGCCAGGGTTTATGGTATCTCGTTTTGTTCCTTTTTCTCGGGGATCACAGTTCTTAGCTGTCCAGTGTCCGCAAGCAGTTGTTTTCTATATTGTGTCCGGTTTTCCAGTTTATGGTGGGAGGTCAATTACAGGACATTGAGAAGTCTCCAGATTGTCCTGTGGCAGCAGAATACTTTTATTTGGAAACAATTCAATTAAAAGTTGATTTAAAATGTTTTGACTTTAAGAGAAATACCAGTGGAATTCTCCCTTATATCATATAGAATTAAATAGTTATATTTAATTATTATAACTATATATTATGTTGAATTGAATGGTTATCAAGAGCTTAGCTTAGCTTCTGTTTTGTTATTTGCAATAGCTATTTGATAATAAAAAATCGCCTTTTCCTTGGAATTAGCCTTAAAGCCAGTTTGAGCCCTACAGAAATATTAGTCACATTGCTTTAGAATCAACCCTGGGTTTTCATTGCCTTCCAAACTGACTAATTCTACATTGACTTCAAAAACTTTTTAACTTAACTCTGAAATTAAAATCCATCCTGAAAAACTGGTAATTGCCTTTGAAGATACTTAAAAGTGTGTTGGAGGTAAAACTGTGATCATGCGCCATCTGAAGGGCTTAGCTCTTTTGTACATAGATAACTTTCATCACATTTGTTAGAAGTGGTCTTATTTAACATGACGTTGAAGGGGCTGGCATAGTGAATAAAGCTGCCGCCTTTGATGTAGGCATCCCTTATGGGAGCCAGTTTGAGTCCTGGCTGCTCTACTTGCCTTCCAGCTTCCTGCTAATATGCCTGGAGAAGTGATGGAAGATGCCCAAGTCCTTGGGCCCCTACACTCATGTGGGTGACCCAAATGAAGCTCCTAATGCTTGTCTTCAGTTTGTCCAGTCTTGGCTGCTGTAGCCATTTAGGAGGGAACCAGCAGGTAGAAGACCTCTTTCTCTCAGTGTCCCTCCCCCCACAGCCCTCTCTCTATATATTTTTAAAAGAAGAAGAAAATAAAATGACATTGAACACAGTTTCTGTTGAGTGCATAGAAGAACGCAATGAACCAGTTTCACATTGAGTATGGCATCAGATGATTTGCACTTTAATTTATAGTAAGTAGCTTTTCTTTATTCTTCTTCACCAGGTATACAATGTTTACATGGCAGGCAGGCAGCTGTGTTCTAAGCGGTACCGGGAGTTTGCCATTCTCCACCAGAACCTGAAGAGAGAGTTTGCCAACTTCACATTTCCTCGACTTCCAGGGAAATGGCCCTTCTCATTATCAGAACAGCAATTAGATGCCCGACGTCGGGGGTTGGAAGAGTATCTAGAAAAAGGTAAGCCAGCTCATGAAAGTAAACTGTTGTTGGAGGACACAGGGTCTGGGTATAGTACACGTCATATACTGCCGTGTTAAGTTTGCAGAAATTCAATGGTGAAGCTGAGGTTTCTGACTGAGCATGGGATGGTTTGGGATTTGATGGCAAGACATTATAGTGATATTATAGTGATTATAAGAAGTCTATCTTTTTAGCTCATTGAGCAAATGGAAAAATTAGTATTTACTTCTTGATGCATTTAATGGTACTTTTAGTGGGCTTTTATTTGTAGGGTTATATTATTTACTAGCAAGCGTTCAGACTTAATAATATGCTGAATTGATTTGAGAATAAGCTATATTTAAGACATTTTCGTAAAATAGTTCTTTTAAGGAAAAAAAAAGATTTATTTGAAAGAGTTGCAGAGAGAAAGGGAGAAACGGATGTTCCATGTGCTGCTTCACTCCCCAAGTGGCCGCATAGCCATGACTGAGCCAACCTGAGGCCCGGAGTCATTCCACATGGCTAGCAGGGGCCCAAGCACTTGGGCAATCTTCCACTGCTTTCCTAGGCTCATTAGTAAGGAACTGGATTAGAATGGAGCAGCCAGATCCCTGCTTTCAAACAAAAGATAGATTTCCAATGAAACTGCTGGAAATGTGTAGACAATGGGATGCTGGACTGTCTGACACTGTCTGTACCAGCAATGTCGGGGCACACTTAAATAAGAGACTGATGGAATTATGACTCCTTATGAAGGACTATACTATTGTAGCAACATGAGGAAAATCTGTCGGGGGTTGGGAGTTGTGGGGAGGATTCCCAATCTATACGAAATTGTACCACAAAGTTAAAAAATTCCAAATAAAAATATAACAAACAAACAAAAGAATGGAGCAGCCAGGACATGTGCCCATATGGTATGCAGCATCACAGGCGGTGGCTTTACCCACAGTGCTCCAATATCAGCCTCCCTAAAACGATTTTTTTTTTTTAATTTATTTCTTTTTATTGCAGAGTCAGATATACAGAGAGGAGGAGAGACAGAGAGGATGATCTTCCATCTGATGATTCACTCTCCAAGTGACCATAACAGCCAGTGCTGTGCAGATCCAAAGCCAGGAGCCAGGAACTTCCTCTAGTCTCCCATGAATGTGCAGGGTCCCAAGGCTTTGGGCCGTCCTCAACTGCTTTCCCAGGCCACAAGCAGGGAGCTGGATGGGAAGTGGAGCTGCTGGGATTAGAACCAGCACCCATATGGGATCCTGGTGCATTCAAGGCGAGGACTTTAGCCACTAGGCCACAGTGCCGGGCCCTAAAATGATTCTTGATTCACTGGCATATCTTAGCTGAGAATTTCTTACTCATACTTTTATAGGTATCTATGGATAGGTTTGCTGAATTTTGGTAATTTAAAATTCTTTTATTCTGAGCATGCTACATGTAGAAGTATGGAAACTCACTTGATATTTTTGAGCTCCAAGTGATACATTTTGATTCTACAGTGTGGGCACTAAAACATTTATTTAGAAAGACAGGGCAATAACATAGATCTCTTCAATATATCAATTAACCCTGTGGCTCTCAGAAAAGACTTTGCCTCATGACATTAACCAGCTACGGAATTTGGTTGCTGTGAAATAGCTCTTTCTTTAAAATCTTAGTCTAAGAAGTAAAACATTGCATGATATTTAGTAATTCTGTGGCCTGTGTCCTTAGATAAGAACTAATTGACCTAGTTATTATTTTTTTTAACTTTGTTAGGGAGCCTCATCCTTGCAGAACACTTTATTTCCCCCAATAGAAGGTAACAGAACTTTCTCATCTATTTTTAGTGCTTTCTATCATGGGCTGGCCTCTGAACATAGCCCTTGGGAAATGAAAAGATTACATTTTTTTTTAAAAAAAAAATTCAAATGCAGTAAATCATCAGTGTAATTTACCACTCTCGTGAGAGTGTCAGGAAGTTAACTTTCTTAGACATGGATGTTCAGCCACTTAGCTACTACCTGCTTGCTTGCTTTCTTTACTTTTTTTTTCCTTCGAGTGATTGATTCTGAAGTTAGCAAGGTGGAGTGATTTGCTCATTCTAATACCTAAGTACCTACCCATTTTTTCCAAAGTAGCTTTACATATTTGTGGTTCTTGGGTTAGCCTGTTCCCACGCCATATTGATCTTTTTTCCTCCATCTTCTGGTTCTCTTTTGGGGTTATGTTTAGCAAGTTATGCCTTTGCAAATTCTATTCTTCATTCTAGATTATATTTAGGTGAATACTTGTCATGCCTTAAAATCTCATAGCCCAAGGCCTGGCGTGGGAGCCTAGCGGCTAAGGTCCTCGCCTTGAACGCGCCAGGATCCCATATGGGCGCCGGTTCTAATCCCGGCAGCCCTGCTTCCCATCAAGCCCCCTGCTTGTGGCCTGGGAAAGCAGTCGAGGACAACCCAAAGCCTTGGGACCCTGCACCTGTGTGGGAGACCTGGAAGAGGCTCCTGGCTTCGGATCTGTGCAGCACTGGCTGTTATGGTCACATGGGGAGTGAATCATTGGATGGAAGATCTTCCTCTCTGTCTCTCCTCCTCTCTGTGTACCTGACTTTGCAATAAAAAGAAATAAATCTAAAAAAATTAAAAAATCTCATATCCCAGAGATGGCATGCTTCCTCACTAGTGTTTGCTACTGATGGTTTAAACAGATACCCTTGATGTGCTGTTGACTGTATCGTCTGGGTATCAGGCCTTATGCCAGCTTCTCATTTTGTTTTCTATAGTATGTTCAATACGAGTCATTGGTGAGAGCGACATCATGCAGGAATTCCTGTCGGAATCAGATGAGGTAAGTGACTACCCCCGAGTGATTCTTTCCTCCAGGATCCTTGGGGAGTGGGGAGTGTGTGATAAAAACATAGAAAGTGTAGATTTAGTTACTGTGGTCTCACAAATTATTGTATTTTTTTTACTTCTTTTCTCATATATCCTATTTATCATGTAAAGCCTGGTGCCAGCCCCACTTTCTCTCTGCATTCTTCTTTGATGGCTCAGGGTATCGATTTTTCATCCCTAAACTTCTGCAGCCCGGGCCGCTCAGGTAACACCTTGTTGCAGTCCTGTGCTCTGACTTTGACACAGATCATTCATGACCTTGAGTCCCTGTAGGTCAGAGCTAGGTCGTAGTCATCTCTATGTCCCCAGTGCCTTACCAGAATATCAGACATGTTGTAGATGCTTTTTCATGGGGAAAAAAAAAGTGACTGTAATGTACCATCCACTGATTGTTTATTTATGTATCTGTGTTGTGTTTTCCACATTGGATTAGAAGGTTCTTGCAGATAAAGGCTTAAAATAAAGTACAACAGTCCCCTCTTATTTGTGGTTTTGCTCTTTGTGGTTTCAATTACTTGTGGTCAACTGCAATTTGAACAGATTAAATGTAAAACTACAGAAATAAATATTTCATAAGCTTTGAGCTGTGTCCCATTGTGAGCAGCAAGATGAAATCTTCCCCTGTCCTGCCCTCTTGCGCCTTGGCTGTGCATCCTGCCCGCGTGCAGTGTACCCTCTCTGTGTATGCTCCCTCTGCACCAGCACTGAGCAGCTGCCTGGGCTATCAGATCGACTGTGATGGTCACAGTGTTTGGGTTAAGCAGCCCTAACTAATTTTACCTAAAAAAGGCCCTAAAACTCAAGTGATGAATAGTGGCAATTCAATTATGTCAAAGAAAGGAGTGAAACTGCTTCCTGTAAGTGAAAAGCTAAAGATTCCTAATAATAACAACAACAGAAATCACATGGTGAGATTGCAGAGCTGTGTGGTAAGGATGGGTGTGTCTGTTTTATTGTGGAAAAGGAAAAAGAAGTTCATACTAGTTTTGCTGTTGCATCTCAGATTGTGAGAATTATGGCCGCAGTGTAGGATGATTCAGGGCTTGTTACTATCCATGGCTCCCATCCAGGGTATTGAAACATGTGCCTGTAGGTAAGGGGGCACCACTGTAAGGTTTGGGACAGTTTTAGGACATCAATAATGCTTTCCTTAAAAATAGGAAGTGAAGATGGAGTTACTCCTAGTTACTTCTCTCTAGTAAAAATTATGAGGCCAAAAATCTGCTAAAGGAATCTGTTTATCCTCTAATGAGAGTATTTCTTTTGAAAAAAAGAGATTAAGAAATGATTTCTCTCTGTTAGGGCAAAAACTGAACTTCAGATTAACTCAGATCCTTGAGTCTCATCCCTTTTGCCCTTCAGAGGTATCCCGATTGTCTGAGTTCAGACAGAAACTTAGGCTACTCTTGGAGCCAATCTGCATGGTTTGCCATTCAAACTAGAAAGTGTTTGTTGAAGCCACTGCTGTAGTGCTTTTCTTATTTGTGAGAACTGAATGAGGCGAGGGAAGTGAACCCAAAAAATCTCAGCTGTGTTTGTCCCAGGCTGTTCTACCTAAGTTTTCTGTTTTGAAACGAGAACACACTTCGCCTCAATACGTTTCTCTGCTTTCTCTCCTCCTCGGAGATTAACTTTTGCTGCAGCTTGAAGTCAGCTTTATGACTTAACAAATTTTTTCAGGTGTCTTTTTTTCTCCTTTTCATTGGAATTCACTTCCTCTGTGCTACATGTTTAGGTTATTGTTTAGCCAGCCTGTTACAAGGATGTATGGGTCATAAATTCTTTCTCTGCTTTTTTCGCAGAACTACAATGGCGTGTCTGACGTTGAGCTGAGAGTAGCGTTGCCAGATGGAACAACAGTGACAGTCAGGGTCAAAAAGAACAGCACTACAGACCAAGTGTATCAGGTAAACCAAACAGTGGACTTGACACTGGACAGTGTGAAGCAATGTAGCTTAAGCGAGTTAATAGCATGAAGTGCTTAGGGCATCTGGCACATGAGTTTATTAAGTATTTGCTGTATTTATTACCCATGTGAAAGTGTTTTTCTGTCTTTGAAAGAAAGTATGGTAAATGTCCCAGGTGGCCATGATCGTAAATAGCTCCTTTTTTTAAATCCTTTTTTTTAATTGTAAAAATAAAACAAGCTTTATAACACATGACACCAGCGTACTACATCTCCGTATTACCCATATTTTGTAATTAATAAGGTTTTGCAAAATTTGTTTCATGTGTCTTTTTTTCCTTTAAATTTTTAAAAACATTGTTTGTTTATTTGAAAGACAGTGTGAAAGAGAGACAGAGAGATCTTCCATATACTAACTTACTCCCCAGATGGCCACAATAACCAGGGCTGCGCCAGGCTGAAGCCAAGAGCCAGACTATCCGGGTCTCCCAGGTGGTTTACAGAGGACCTGAGCACTTGGGCTATGCTTTGTTGCTTTCCTAGGTGCATTAGCAGGGAGTTGGATCAAAGTGGAGTAGCCTGGGACTCAGTGCTCACGTGGGATGCCTGCTCTGCAGGCAGCAACTTAACCCTCTGTGCCACAGTACTGAGCTTCTCTTAACATTTTTTTAAAGATTTATCATTTAATAAAAATTGTTTATTTTACATGAAAAATCAAAGTTAGAGAAAAGGAGAGGTACCCATCCACTGGTCTACTCCCCAGATGGCTGCAATGGCCAGAGGTAGGCTGGTCCAAAGCTGAAAGCCACAAGCTTCTTGCAGGCATTCCACGTGGACCAGCCTTTGCTGCTTTCCCAAGCCACAGGCAGGGAACTGGATCAGTATATGTGCTGTTGAAGCAAGCATTAACTAACAGGGAATTGGATCAGAAGTGGAGTAGCTGGGACTAGAGCCAAATGCCCATGGGGGATGCTGGCACCAAGAGGTAAAGGATTAGGGTGCTATGCCACCATACCAGTTCCTCCTTTAACATTTTTATTTAAAGCAAATTCTGTTTCATTGGATACATGTATATACTTGAAAATATATATATATATATTTAAAGATTTATTTTTGGGCCCAGCGCGGTAGCCTAGCAGCTGAAGTCCTCGCCTTGCACACTCTGGGATCCCATATGGGAGCTGGTTCTAATCCTGGCAGCCCCGCTTCTCATCCATTATTTTTTATATTTATTGGAAAGTAAGATATACACAGAGGAGAGACAGAGAGGAAGATCTTCCGTCCATGGATTCACTCCCCAAGTGGCCACCATGCGGAAGCTGAGCTGATCTGGAGCCTGGAGCCTGGAGCCTCTTCTGGGCCTCCCATGCAGGTGCAGGGTCCCAAGGCTTTGGGCCATCTTCCACTGCTTTCCCAGGCCACAAGCAGGGAGATGGATGGGAAGCAGGGCCTCCAGGATTAGAACCAATGCCCATATGGGATCCCAGCACATGCAAGTCGAGGACTTTAGGTGCTAGGCTTCTGCACCAGGCCCTTGAATATGTATCTTTTTAAAAAATTAATGTTATTCTTAGAGAATCACAATGCCAGTATCAAACTTAACAAGTAGCACAATTTTTTAGCATTAACTCATTAACTATTCCATAGTGAAAATTTTCCTAATAGTTTAAATTATTTTTTTAAAGTCAGTTTTATAAAATCTGGATCTAAATAGGGTCTTTTTTTTTTTTTATCATAATGATTACTAAATTTTGTTTATTTGCTAAGCAGCAAGACAGAGCTGCCATCTGCTGGCTTACTCCCGAAATGCAAACAGTATTGCTTGGCTGCAGCTGGGAGCCAGGATCAATCCAGGTCCCATGTGGCTGCAGGGGCCTGAGTGCTTGAGCCATTTCCTGATTCCTCCCCAGGTCGCATTAGTAGAAAGACAGGATCAAGAACTTTTTAATGCTTCTGTCTTTTTTAAATTTATTTATTTTCATTTTATTTGGAAAATAGAAGGACAGATAAACAAAAATCTTCTGTCCACTGATTGACTCACCAAGTACCTGCAGCAGCTGGGGCTGAGCCTGGGAAACCAGGATCTGGTGACTGAGTCAGGGTGGCAGGGACCACGGTGCTGGAGCCATTACCTGCTTACCCCTCAGGGTGGCCAGTAGTTGAAAGTGGGAGTCAGGAGTGGAACCCGGGGCTCAGACCCACGGACTCCACTGTAGTATGCCACGTCTCAAGCGACATGTTAATGCTGCCCCGAACTCCTGCCCTCATAGTGTCATTCATACGTGTGTAACCTGAAAGACAGCAACAGAGCTCTTCTATCTTCCGGGTCATGCCCAGTGCCCATAAAGGCCAGAGCTGGACCAATCCCAAGCCTGGAACTCAGTCTGGTTTTGCCATGTGGTAGTAGAGACCCCGACGCTTAAGCCATTTCTGCTGACTCCTAGGGTGTGCACGATCAGGAAGCTGAACTGGAGGTGGAGCATCGGGGACTCCAGCCAGGATCTCTAATATAGCATGACAAGTTTTTTCTTAGCTGCTATACAGATGTCTAACCCGCAAAATGTCACTTAATGTGTCGTTTTACTCGTTTTCTCTGTAAATAAAAGTTTGTTCTGGGGCCAGCTCTATAGCTTAACTGGTAAAACCATCTCATGTAGTTGTTGGTTCGTGTCCCAGTAGTTCCACTTCCAGTCTAGCTCCCTGCTAATGCACTGGGAAAGTAGCAGAAAATAGCCCAAGTGCTTTGGCCTCTCTGCACCCATGTGGGAGATCTGGAAGACACTGCTGGTTTTGGACTGGTCCAGCTCCGGATGTCATGGCTGTTTGGAGAGTGAACAGGCCGGTGGAAGATCTCTTCCTCTGTCTTACCTCACTTTCTCTGTGGCTCTGCCCTTCAAATAAAATTTTAAAAATTTAAATGTTTGTTCTATGGTCCAGCGACGTTGGCTCAGTGGATAAATTGTCACACCTTGCAATCTTGCCAGAATCTGATATGAGCGCTGGTTCATATCCCAGCTGTTCCACTTCCCATCCACTTCCTGCTCATGAGCCTAGGAAAGCAGCCCAAAGCCTTGGAACCGAGCACCCACTTGGGAGACCTGGAAGAAGCTCCTGGCTCCTGGCTTTAGATTGTCTCAGCTCCCAGCCATTGCAGCTATTTAAGAAGTGAACCAGTAGATATAAGATCCTTCTTTCCTTCTCTCTGTAAATCTGACTGCCTTTATAATAAAAACAAATAAATCTTGGAAAAAGGTTTGTTCTGGAAACTTGATTAGATTCACGCTCTTTTTTTTTTTAAGATTTATTTATTTATTGGAAAGTCAGATATACAGAGAGGAGGAGAGACAAAGAGGAAGATCTTCCGTCCGATGATTCACTGCCCAAGTGAGTGCAACAGCTGATGCTATGCTGATCCAAAGCCAGGATCCAGGAACCTCTTCCAGTCCCCCACACGGGTACAGGGTCCCAAAGCTTTGGGCCATCTCGACTGCTTTCCCAGGCCACAAGCAGGGAGCTGGATGGGAAGTGGAGCTGCCAGGATTAGAACCGGCGCCCATATGGGATCCTGGCACATTCAAGGCGAGGACTTTAGCCACTAGGCTACTGTGCCTGGCCTGTTAGCTGTAATTCTTCTGTGAATAACTTTTTCTTATCAACTAGGGCTTTTATGTTATCTTGAAATACAGTTTTGGGGAGAGGATAAATTCTTGATTATTTCCCTTTATTGCCAATTTTCAATGTAAAGGGTTGGGGTTCTAGTTATTTTCAAGATGGTCCGTAAGATAATTGTTACATTTTTGTTTGTTAGTGTCAGGTGGGCCTTATCAGTTCAATCAGTAGCAGATGTTATCTTTTTGATGCTTGAATTGGTACATCTTGGGCTGCAGAAATTCCTTCACATCTGTTCTGCTGCCTTTAGTTTGGAAAGGCAGAGATAGAGGCACCCAGAGAGAGAACACCTGCTGCTCTCTACAGATTCACACCCAAAATGCCTGGCCCATTTAGAGCGGGCCAGACTGGAGCTGGGAGCCAGGCCTGCAGTCCAGGCCTCCCACATGGGTGCCAGGAACACAGTCACTGGACTTTTCATTGCTGGCCTCAAGGGCCTGCATTAACCGGAAGCTGGGTTCAGGAACTGGAGCCAGGGTGGAACCCCAGGACTCTAATATGGGACACTGTCATCCACCAGACTAGACATCACCCTTCCTGTATGCTTTTAATGTAGTACATTCGTTCATAATAGAATCCTAGCTTGCAGGTACCACAGGATGTCCCAGGCTCATTTTACTATCATGTTTATATCATTCCCTACCCTAGATCTAAAGGAAGCCTTTTCTCCGGGAGTTCTAATTCTTTTCAGTGAGGAATTATATAAATATATGTTTTTTTAAACACATCTTTTTTAAAAAAAAAATTTATTTTTATTGCAAAGTCAGAGATACAGAGAGGAGGGACAGAGAAGAAGATCTTCCATCTGATGATTCACTCCCCAAGTGTCCACAACGGTCAGTGCTGTACCAATCTGAAGCCACGAGCCAGGAGGTTCCTCCGGGTCTCCCCTGCGGGTGCAGGAACCCAAGGCTTTGGGCGTCCTCCACTGCTTTCCCAGGCCACAGGCAGGTGGCTGGATGGGAAGCAGGGCAGCCTGGACATGAGCTGGAGCCCATATGGGATCTCAGTGTGTGCAAAGCGAGGATTGTAGCCACTAGACTACCACACCAGGTCCATTATCTGAGTTCTTGTATGATTGTTACTTGATTTCATTGACCATTTTTAATCTTAACTTGATTAGGACTTTCGGGGAGATAAGCAAGTTCTGGGTATTAATGTTTTTTGTCTCCTTAGTAGCAAATATACTAAAGCACAGGATATGTGCAATATTTTGGCCATTTCTGAAATTACGTAATGGAGTCGTTGCAAGCGTACTTTCATCTTACAGCTTGCTAGTAACTTGTTTTCTTGGTTTTATTTTTCCTTCAATATTTCTTTCATAAGGCTTGCAGTTTGGTTTTTGTATTTCAGTATTGTTCTTTGTTTCCTGTCACTATGACTTCCAGCTAGAAACCATTTTCTAAATTTTTTTTAAGGATTTATTTATTTTTATTGCAAAGTCAGTTATACAGAGAGGAGGAGAGAGGAAGATCTTCCGTCAGATGATTTTACTCCCCAAGTGGCCGCAATGGCCAGTCACTTGGTGAGGACTTTAGCCACTAGGCCACTGCACCAGGCCCCATTTTCTAAATTTTTGAACCATTTTAGTTTCTATCTGGCATGGTATAGAATGGTAGGTTATAACACTGGTAATCATCTGTGCCTGCATCGCATCAGGGGACAACCTAGGCCTCATAGTTTGACACAAGAAGAAGGAATAAAGTGGCACTTCGTTTACTAAACTACTGATATTTTATTGCATTAATAACAAAATTGGTCTTGAAAAGGAACTGTGTTACCACTGATTCATGGTTTTCGATGTGTGCGTTATTGTCTGAGTGTAGCTTCGGCTTGCATTAGTTTCCCCTTGAAGTCTTTCAATTTCACTTTCGTCATATTAGAAGCTTCGTTTCTAGAGAGAAGGAACTGATCCTTGTTTAATTTGCCTCTGTTGTCACAACACTTTGCTAATTTCTTCTGGGTTTTATGATTATGGTAATTCTTAGGAAATGAAGGTAACTAATGTCTCCAGCCTGGGGTATAGGTTATTGGAAAAATAAATAAAAGTATTTATGTAGCTTGAATAAAATTGATAGTGTTTTGAGTTCAAGAATGAAAGATGCAGATTTTTTTGTAAGATTTATTTATTTTTATTGGAAAGGCAGATTTACAGAGAGAAGAGACAGAAAAATCTTCATTTACTGATTCACTCTCCAAATGGCCGCAATGGTCGGAGCTGAGATGAACCAGGCCAGTAGCTTCCTCCAGGTTTCCAGTGTGGGTGCAGGACCCCAATGAACCCAGCTTAGTAGCCTAGTGGCTAAAGTCCTTACCCTGTGTGTGCTGGGATCCTATATGGACACCGGTTCTAATCCTGGCAGCCCTGCTTCCCATCCAGCTCCCTGCTTGTGGCCTGGGAAAGCATTCAAGGGCAGCCCAAAGCCTTGGGACCCTGCCCCCACATGGGAGACCTGGAAGAGGCTCTTGGCTCCTGGTTTCAGATCACTGTTGCAGCCTCTTGGGAAGTGAATCAGCGGATAGAAGATCTTTGTCTCTTCTTCTCTCTGTAAATGTGAGTTTCCAATAAAAATAAATTGATCTTTAAAAATTTCTTGTTTTCATTTTAATGTCTGTCCTCCAAGCACATTGCTTATAAATTATGTGAGGAAAGACCTGGTGGAGTGAAATTACATTTCAGAAAGAAAAGCTGATATTTTTAAGGAGAGGCTGTCATCAGCTTGAATTACAAATGCAATCAACAAGAAAACAAAAACAAAATAAATAAAAAATGAAACAAAAAACAAAACAAAAACAAGTGTTCATAGCTATTTAGGTCAAATATAGATGTTGGTTTTCCCTTTCTCTTTCATACTGTGCATTCTTAGAATGCATACATAGAAAGCGGGCAAGCCCGGCCCAGTGTGATAGTGTAGCAGTTAAAGTCCTCGCCTTGAACACACCGGAATCCCATATGGGCGCCGGTTCTAATCCCTGAAGCCCCACTTCTCATCCAGCTGCCTGCCTGTGGCCTGGGAAAGCAGTTGAGGACCGCCCAAAGCCTTGGGACCCTGCACCCTTGTGGGAGACCTGAAAGATGTTCCTGGCTTTGGATTGGCTCAGCTGTAGCCATTGTGGTCATTTGGGGAGTGAACCATCAGATGAAGATCTTCCTCTTTGTCTCTCAAAGAAAGCAGGCAGGCCATGGACCTTGATTTTAATTTTTATGAAGCCAGGATGACAAAACTTACTTTCTTCCCTCCTCCACATGTGCACACTTGCCATTTTTCTGTAACATTGTCTGATTTTATTTTCCTGTCTACCCTTTAGGCTATTGCAGCAAAGGTTGGCATGGACAGCACAACAGTGAATTACTTTGCCTTATTTGAAGTGATCAATCATTCCTTTGGTAAGTGCCAGTAGTTAATATTAAGCTTTGTTTGGGCTGTTTTATCCTAATACTGTCTTAAGAAAAACTTGCACACAGAGGGAGATCCCACTCTTGTGGACTGTCTCCGCTACATAAGCCAGACAAATCCCACTAAGGCCAAGTCCCAAGGTATATATTCAGGAGAAGTTCAGAATTCATATATTCCAATGAAAAAATAGGCTTAGAAAAATAGGATATTTTGTTTAGTTATCAGTTACTTGTTGCTTTAGTGTTCCTTTGCTTGCCTTTTTTTTTTTTTTTTTTTTTTTTTTTAGGTTTATTTTTACTTGAAAGGTAGATTTACGGAGCGAAAAGACAAGAGACAGATCTTCCATCTTGCTGGTTCACTCCCCAAATAGCCACAACAGCTGGAGCTGGACTACTGCAAAACTAGGAGCCTGGAGATTCTCCCAGGTCTCCCTCGTGGGTGCAGCGGCCCAAGAATTTGGTCCCTCTTCCACTGCTTTCCCAGACACATTAGCAAGGAATTGAATTGGAAATGGATTATCCAGGACTCAAACTGGTGCCCCATGGGATGCTGACACTGCTGGTGGAGGCTCATCCTTCTACACTACGGCACTGCCCCCGCACCCACCCCCCCACCCCCGCTTTTTATAAAGATTTTTATTTAAGATTAGCTTTTTGTTTTTGGAAATTGGAGATTAAATTTATTTATTTATTGGTATCCAAAATGTGTTTATTGGGAAGGTCTCCCATTCATCTTGATTCAGGGTGCCCTTAGTGCTGCTTCCTTTGGAAGGAACATCCTGCAAGCAGAGACAGTTCACAGGGTCAGGGATGCAGCCCACCACCTCCTCCCCCCAGAAACCCACCCCACCTGCCACTCAAGCTCTCATTACCCCGAGCCCACTCCTACCACTATGGAAACCAACACCTGGTTCCTGACCAACTGCTTGTAGGAAAATCGTAGACAGAATTCCACCCCTCTCCCGACATGCCACCCGGCCCCGCTCGCCCGCAGGCTGACCCATGAAGCCACTCACCTTCTGTAAGCCTCGCTTTGCCTCCCGTGGGCCGGCAGAGGACAGTGGAGCAGCCGACACACAAAACGACCGTCTGTGTGTGGCTAAAAACCGTGGTGATTTTGTGGCATCCTGGGCACTTGACGTTCATGAAGAAGAACTTGGGGCTCTTCTGCACCAGGCGTTTCTTCTTGTGTCTCCTCTTCGCCGGAAAGGGATACAGGAGATCCTTGGCAAGAGGCATGTTCGTGTGTAGAGGTCATCACTGCCAGAAAGGGAGATTAAATTTCTTAGAAGTGCTTGTATTAATGCATATGTTTAAGTTTCCACATGAAGAGATTTCTGTTATTTCTGGGAAATTTTATTGCATGGTAATAAGAAGTTTCTCTGACACAAGCTGGGGACAATGATCCTGTAGGTGGCAAAATCACAAAGAAGGGGGCCTGAGGGTTTGCCCTTGCTGACATAGATTGCTATGGTTTATGGGTCTCTTTCACATGTCTCACATTTTGCATATGGTCTCTTTCACATATCTTACATGCACACGTGCAGGCATGTGCACACACACACGATGCTAAGACTAAAAATGGCATAGATGCTACTAGTTGATACACCTTCCTTCTCCCAGAAAGGGGAGACTTCGGGACGTTTGGGTTGTCTTGCCCAGTTCAAGGTAGAACAGCTTCAATTCCCTATTATCCATCCCAGCTGAACGGCTTACTCAGGCAGGTGTAAATTATGTTATAGAGGATCGCTATGGTATCCGAACACCGAGATTCTGATCTTTTGCCCCGATTCAAAGTCAAGTAAACATCAAGAGAGGAAAACAGGCTTTCCAGAGAAAGGCAGTATAGAGATTGAAAGTGGTCATGTCTGTGCTGCTTGTAAGCTTGCTGGCAGGAAAAGGAAACGGTGTTGTGCACAAAGCACTTGGACCGAGGGGACTGCGTGGGGACTGCGTCAGGGTCTGGGCGTGGGGGTGGTGAGAGCCTTTCACCTTCTCCTAGACTTGCAGGAGAGACTGAGGCTGAGGGGACATGGGCTGTAACATCCTGATGTTATTTTGACTAAAGTTGGAGCTCATAGTGCCTGCTGAGTCATCATGTTAGCCACAGGGTCAGTCGCTTTGAGGCTTTACTGGCCATAGTCGCAAAGGGGAGAGATTCAGCCCGACACTGGAGTGCGCTGTGCTCCCGCGGCTGAGCTCCTTAGAATGCTTGAACTGATGCTCTGGTAAGGGTGACCTGTCACGTGATCCGCCATGCAGAGTTTGTTTTCAACCCAGCATTCTATGTTTTGTCTTCTCCTCAGTGCGCAAGCTGGCACCTAATGAATTTCCTCATAAACTTTACGTCCAGAACTATACATCTGCCGTGCCAGGCACCTGCCTGACCATTCGAAAGTGGCTTTTTACAACAGAAGAAGAAATCCTCTTAAATGACAATGACCTTGCTGTTACATACTTCTTTCATCAGGTGAGTGAATAGATCTTCCTTGCTAACCTGTTTTTGCTTTTGGTTTTCTTCTGTCTGTGTATAGTTGGTAAATTACCAACCCAGTGTAACTTTTTGGGTAAGCCACTCTGTTCCTAGATCTGAGATTAACATAAAATCGCATTTTACAAAAGATAAATACATTTTAGAAGTAGAAATATACTGAAGATTATTTATTCTAATTTTTATAAGTGATAAGAAGTGACTGACCACCTGTTCAAAAAAATTTTTATTAGTGTTTTCCATACCTAGAGTTTAAAGCATCCAATAGTTCAGTTTATGACACAAGATAGTAGTTGTCCCCCTTCCCTTTGTGTTCCCCCAGAGATAACCACTTTTACCTTTTTCAGTTGTTTCTTGTAGTTGTTATGTTTTGCATTAACTTCTGTGTCTCTATTATACTTTGGTTATTTAATTTTTCAGATTCAAGCAGTGCCTCTTAATTTCCCACTCTTGAACATGAGACATTAGCCTCTTACCTTCTCCAATTCCTGCCATATATCCACCCTGTTGCATGTCTCCCATCCCCGTAATACAGTCTCATGCACGCCAGCAGGTGCATCAGTCTAACCTAACCCTGCCCTCCCCCAAACCCAGCTCAAATGCCAGCTGACAGGTGCTGCAGCCCTGCCCAGACCAATTGATCCCTAGACCCAGTTCTCTGACTCATCAGTGGAAGCAGTGGTCTATCAGCGGAGTCCCTGACATTCACCTACCAGAGCCACTCCTAGCCCTGGGTCTTGCATATGCTGGTGGGTGCTGTGGCACAGTTTCTGCATTCGCTGGCAGGTGCTGCAACCCAGCTCTGGCCTGCTCCCAGTCCTAACACTTGTGCTCACCAGCAGAAACAGCTCAGCAGGGGGGTCCTCCAGGATCCCCTACTAGGCTCTCTCCCAGCCTTGGATCTCACGTGTGCCAGCAGGTGCTGCAGCCTAGCCTGATGTGGCCTACCCCTAGTCTTGGTACTCACTAGCAAGTGCTATAGCCTAGCCCAAACAGCCTACACCCATTCTGGCTCTCTCTAGGGGTGCCACAGCCTAGCCCAGCCCACTCCACACCCATTCTGGCTCTCACAGGTGCCAACAGATCCTGGGACCTAGGCCCAGTCTGGTCTACCACCAGACCCAGCCCACACACATGCCTTTGAACAACACAGCCTTACCCAGCCTTACGCAGCCCAGTCTGTCCGTAGCCCTGACTCTTGTGTGGGAGCTGCAGCCTAGTAGGGGAGTCCCCAAAGTTCCCCTGCCAGGCCCACTCCCAGACCTCTTGTGTGCTAGTGGGTGCTGTGGCCCTGCTTGGCATGGTCTGCCCTCAGTCTTGAATTTTGCGTATGCCAGCGGGTGCTACATCCTGCCTCCGCGCCAACCCACGCAGCTTTATCCCAGCCCTAGCTCTTGCAAGTGTTGGTGAGTTCTGTGGTCCAACCTGACTCAGCCCATCAGCACCTCCAGCTCTCTGCACAAACCAGTGGGTGCTGCGGTTCCACAGAGACGAGCCCACAAGTCCCCTGCAGAATCTGCCCAGATCCAGTTTTTTCCCATTCTGATGGGTGCTGTGGCTTAGCTTGATGTGGCCCATTCCCTTACCCAAACACTCACTGATGAATTCTGTGTCCTAGCCCAGCCAGGCATGCCCCTCAGCTCCAGCTTTGGCATGCACCCGTGGGTGGTAGGTGATACTAAGTGCAGCCATGTTTGCCACATGAGTGAGTACATTGGTGTGACCCAGACCTGCACTCCGGTTTCTCCGTCTAAGCCACCCTTTCCCAGCACCCTCATCTACCTGCAAGTGCAGTGGCCTAGTCTGTGGAAGCCCCCAGAAGTCACTCCTCACCTGTCAAAACATGTCCTTAGTGGTCCCCATTACAGAACACCCCCAGGCCCCCTGTACAGGCCCCTTGCCGCGTGGCAGTACTTGTGTATCTGAGGGCTGGGGCAGGGTGGCATGTCCTGGCCTGGCAGCCCCCACCTCCTGCTGCTCTGTGACACTCAAGAATTCCCCACATATCCTACACATGCACGCACACACAAAATAGACAATAAAAGGCCTGGTGCGGTAGCCTAATGGCTGAAGTCCTCATCTTGCACATACTGGGATCGCATATGGGCGCTGGTTTGTATCCCGGCTCCTCCACTTCCTATTCACTCCCTACTTGTGGCCTGCAAGGGCAGTAGAGGACGGCCCAAAGCTTTGGCCCCTGCCACCCACGTGGGAGACCTGGGAGAAGCCTGGATTCTGGTTTTGGATCGACTCAGCTCCAGCCTTTGTGGCAACTTGGAGAGTGAACCAGTGGACAGGAGAGCTTTCTCTCTGCCTCTGCTCCTCTCTGTATATCTGCCTTTCCAATAAAATAATAATAATATAATAAATCTTTTAAGAAAAGAATAGGCAATTGTGCTGGCACACTGATATAATGAACAAATTTGGCATTAACCGGGCCCAGAATGCCCACTGCTTTTATTATTTGTTTGCTGCTTTTCTCCCAGCAGGGTAAAATTGCCTAGGTACAAGGCAGTCTAGGCAGTTGCCAAAGTTAGGGCTGAACGTCCTTTTTATAAACTTCTCCTACAAGGATTTATTTACTTACTTTTGATGTCAGGTATTTCTAGGGATGTGTAGAAAATCCTAACATAGATTTTGCCTCTTTTTGCATATCTACATAAGTTCTTTTATGTGTTCTTGACGACTGAATATGCTATACATTGTTTATTCTTTTATTTGTTCCAGAGTATTTTTTGATTATGTGGTTATAAATGATGCTATCATGAACTAAATGGTTAGGTGCTTTTTTTTTCTTCAAGAGAAGCTATTGTTTGTATTAATGCGTCTTTGACATGTGAACGGTTTCTGTACTTTGACTCCTAAACTTTTCATTACGCCAGTGTTTTCCCTTAGTGTTACCGGTTTGTTTTTGAGAGTCAGTAACATTTTATGTAACAGATTGATTGATGTGGAAGGCAAAGTTAGAGAAAGAATGAGAGCATGTCCGGCTGCTTGTTCGTTCCCCTAATGGCTACACAGTTCACTGGGCTTGGTTGAAGCCAGGAGCCTGGAACTCCATCCAGGTGTCCCACTTGAGTAGCAGGGAGCTGGATGAGAAGTGCAGCAGTTGGGACTCAAGCCATAAGAAATACCACTGTCACACGGAGCAGCTTAACCCACTGCATTCACAGCTCTGGCTCCCTGATCTGCAATTCTGAAAAATGTTTTATGCTTTAAGGTGTCTGAGGTTTATCTCTGGATGTTGTAATATGAATGATCTAAGTTAAAATTTCTTGATATTACTGTCTGGATAGCATAGCAGCATGGATTAAATGATTTATGATGTTATCCTTAATTTATCTTTCCTGAAATTTTACATATATGTGGCCAAACTGTATAATTCTTTTCTATTGACCTATTTCAGTTTCAACTGTTCTTTTGATTATTGTTCATCTGTAATACATTTTAATATCTGGTAAGGTTATCTTGTCCATTTTATTTTTCCTAACTTTAAGGTGTTTCATAGCAATATATAAAGTATCCTTTCACTAGTCCAATTGAAGTTTCGTTAAATTGATAATTTAGAGAATAATCATTGTTTTTATTCTGTATAATATCTGATGAAATATATAAGGTTTAAACATTTTTTAGGTCTTAAAATTTTATTCTCATAAAATGAATTATTGTTTTGGGTTTTTACAGATTAATTTATATTTGAAAGAGTGGTAGAGAGAGGAAGATAGAGAAAGATGTGCCGTACACTGGTTCACTCCCTAAAAGCTGCAACAGCTAAGCTCAAGTCAAAGGCAGGTCTTCCATGTGCGGCAAGGAACCCACACTTCTGTGCCGTGATTTGCCACCTCTAAAGCACATTAGCAAGAAGCTGGATTGCATATAGAGCATCAGGAACTGGAACTGGCCATTCTGTATAGGATGTGGGTCAAATGTCCCAAGCAGTAGTTTGACTTGCTATGCCACAACATCTACTCTTTCACTCCTCTTTTGGTTCCTCAAATACAGTTTTGTAATTCTATGTTTAAATAAGATGTTTTAAATTGATTTAGCTTTTTATTTGAAAGGCAGATTTGACAGAGAAGGACAGACAGGGTTCACTTCCCAAATGGCCACAGTGGCTGGAGCTGAGCCGATCGGGAGCTAGGAGGTTATTCCGGCTCTCCCATGTGGATGCAGGGTCCCAAGGTCCTGAGCAATCCTTCACTACTCTTCCAGGCATGTTAGCAGACAGCTGGATGGCAAGTAGAGCAGCCAGGATACAAACCAGCACCCATATGAGATGGTAGTACTGGCAATCAGAGGATTAGCCTGTGGAGCCACTGCACCAGCCCCAAAATACTTTTTATTTTTATTAATATTGTGAATGCATTGTCTTTTGTATCATTGAAGTACAAAGTTATTAACTAGAAGTAAGGCTATCTGGTTCAAGTACAAGCTTTGCATTGGGTTAATCAGCAAAACTTGCCTGAGATCTGTTTTCTGATCTGATTAAGGGTAATAATGCTTGTTTACTTTTCCATGGGTATCAAAATTTAAATTTTGGTGAGGGAGTGCATATGAAGTTGCTTTTAATTTGTAAAAGTGTAATACAAAAATTAAATTCTTAGGTATATGAACCAGCTGTGTCTTTTGTAGCTGTATTTCATATCCAGCATGTTTTCTGAATGCTGTTGCCTTACATGAGTTTTTAAACAACTTCATTGAGATATAATTGAGATGCAGTAAATTGTACTTATATAAAACACCACTTTAGTAAGGTTTCTATATTATTTTTAAACGTGTACTCTGGTAGTTAACTTCTGTGTTCGTCAGCATATACCAGATCTCCCAAGGGTTGTTTTTTTCTGGTAAAACTAAAGCTCTCTATTCGTTAAGCAACCATTCTCCACTTTCCTGTTCACCACTCTTGACAACCACCATTCTTTGTGTTTCAGTAAACTACTTTGGACACTGAATTTGAGTGCAATTCTGCAGTATTTGTC